GTACTGGGAACCGAACTCACGACCTTGCGCTTGCCAGGCAGGCGCTTTGCCGCTGAGCTAAATCCCCAGCCCCTTGAAATTGTTTTAGTTTGGCAAATTTGTATTTCTAATATTTTTCAAGTCAAGTGGAAATTGACTACAATTACATTAACATCTGCTTTTCTAAGAATAGGACTTTGCAAACACAAAACATGATGGAATGTTACTTTTTTATTACCTTGGAGATAAAGTATTCTGTGATGTATTGGTAGGAGAAGTAAGAGGACTGGACCAGTTGGCTGGTGATCGTGGTGTTGGTCTTGTCAAAGGACTCCCCATAGAACTCTGATGGAGATAGTCAAATATTAACATATGACAGGTAAGTTCAACTAAAAAGCTCTCAGAGAAGTCATATAATCATGAGATTGAACCATATTAAAGAGTCACATTTATAAATCAATTTTTAAAATATTCATGCACTTATATCAGGTTTTTGGGGAAAACTTTTCACTCAGGAACCTATTTAAGAAAATTTTTTATTAGTACATGTTTGCAGTATATAATGATTACATTCCTTGTGGGGAACCTATTGCATGTCTGACGTCCCAGCACTCAGGAGGCTAAGGCAAGAAGATGTCTTTGAGCTCAAATCCAGCCTAGGGTACTTAGTGAATTCAAGATCAGCCTGAACTACATACCAAAACCCTGCCTCAAGAAAACTAACCAATCAACCAAAACACATTCCTCATGGGTAGTTGTTATGGGTACACAATGCATCTTAATTCTTTCTTTCCTCTTGCATTCCCCTCCTGCTCCCTTTAGTCCTTTTGTCTTCTTTTTACCTGCTTCTTTTCTCCCTAATATTATCAACATCTTTTTCTTCAAAGATTCAACAGGATCCTAAACTAAACGTTTTATTTTATTGTATTTTTTTGTTTTAGGAAAATTTAATGAAGTATAGTTAATCCTAATATGTCTGCTTTATTTTTTTAAAATTTATTTTAAAAATAAAAGAACGAAACATATTAAGAAACAGACATCCATTTACAAAACAGTGGAAAAACTATACAAGCAATACTGAACTGCAGACAAAGGGATAGGAAATTAACAATGGTTGTTGTATTACATATTGATATCTTCAAAGTGGTTTCTCAGGAAAACAAATACAGAGATGCAAGACTGATCAAATAATTAATCATTAACTGTTCCCTTCAGTAAAGTGATAGAAGTCAGTAGCACAACTATGTTAGCTATCCTGTATATACATATATACATAATTTCTCCTTCTTTCTTTTCTCTTTTCCCTCATCCCAGTTGCTCTATTTTTCAGCAGTTGCCTTTCATTTCACAATCTCTATCATACCTCTTAATTTTCATTCACTCTTTCAGGTTCTTACACTAGTGAGACAATATGTTGCTTACACATGCAGGTCTGATTTATTTCACTTATGAGTATGCTCTCTAGTTGTGACCATTTCCCTATAAAAGCCTCAAGTTTATCTTTCTTTATAGCTGAGTAATATTCCATTATATAAAAATACCACAATTTCTTTACCCATTCCTCAGTGGATGGACATCTGGGTTGCTTCCATGATTGAGCCATTACAAACTGTGCTGCTATAAACATGGGTGCACATGTATTGCTGTGATATGATATTTTCAGATCTTCTGGGTTGAATGGGACCTCTAGACCTAGTTTGCTGAGGAATCTCCAAACTGATTTCCACAGTGGTTTCACCAGTCTGCATTCCTACCAGCGGTGGAGAAGAGTTCCTATTTCTCCACACCCTTGCCAGCATTTATTATTGGTTTATTTCTTAATGCTAGCCATTCCTACTGGGGTAAGGTGGAATCTCAATGTTGTTTTAATCTCCCTTCCAATCAAGAAGAGCTTGGAGCGAAGTACTACAGGTCCTGAGACAAAACAGCTTCCAACCAAGACTGATGTATTCTGCAAAACTATCCTTCAAATTTAATGGAGAAATAAAATATTTCCACAACAAAGAACAACTGAAGAACATCATGAGTGCCAAACCAACGTTACAAAGAGTACTAAAAGATATTCTAGACAGAGGAAAAAATGACCACAATTTCCAGAACAACAATAGAAAGGAACTCTCAAGCAGAGCAAACAATTAAACAGAGAGCAAAAGAAGGAAACCAACAGCAAGTAAATAACATGACAAAGATAACCCAGCACTTATCAGTTATAGCCATTAATGTAAATTGCCTCAATTCACCAGTCAAAAGAAAGAGACTGGCAGAGTGGATTAAGAAACAAAATCCAACAATATGCTGAATACAGGAGCAACCACAACCACAAACACACTCAGCCACCTAATCTTTGACAAAGGGGTCAAACAAGTTCAATGGAAGAAAGATAGTCTCTTCGGTAAATGGTGCTGGAAAAACTGGCTTGCCACTTGCCAAAGACTGAAAATAGACCCAAGTCTATCACCATGCACCAAAATCAATTCAAAATAGATCACAGATCTCAATATTAAAACAGAAACACTGAATCTATTGGAAGAAAAAATAGGTAAAAATCTTGAAGACATAGGGGTAAGCAGAGAGTTCATGAACAAAAACTAAACCTCATGGGAAATACTTCAAAGAATCAGTAACTAGAATCTCATCTTACTGAAGTTTTTTGCACATCTAAAGAAATCACCAGCAGAGTAAAAAGAAAACCCACAAATTGGGAAAAAGCATTTCTCAAATGACTGATGATGTTGAACATTTTCTCATGTATTGATTTGCTGTTTGTATTTCTTTATCTGGGAAGTGTGCATTCATCTCAGATGCCCATTTTTGGATTGGGTCTTTGAATTTTTCTGGTACCAGGAATTGAACTCACGACCTTGCGCTTGCCAGGCAGGTGCTGTGCCACTGAGCTAAATCCGCAGCCCTTATAGTTCTTTATAAGTTCTAGACAGAAGACCTTTGTCCGAGGGACAGTCGGCTAAAATTTTTTTCCCAATTTGTGGGTTTTCTTTTTACTCTGCTGGTGATTTTAGATGTGCAAAAACCTTTCAGCAGGGTGAGATCCCCGTTGTTGATTCTTTGAAGTATTTCTTGTGAAGTTTGGTTTTTGTTCATGAACTCTCTGCCTACCCCTATGTCTTCAAGATATTTGCCTACTTTCTCTTCCAATAGATTTAGTGTTTCTGTTTAAATATTGAGATCTGTGATCCATTTTGACTTTAGTTTGGTGCATGGTGATAGACTTGAGTCTATTTTCAGTCTTTGGCAAGTGGCAAGCCTGTTTTTCCAGCACCATTTATTAAAGAGGCTAACTTTCTTCCATTGAGCTTGTTTGGCCCCTTTGTCAAAGATTAGGTGGCTGAGTGTGTTTGTGGTTGTGGCTGTTTCCCCCAGTCTGTTCCATTGATCCTCTGGTCTGTTTTTTAGCCAGTACCATGTTGATTTTATTACAGTAGCTTTGTAGTATAATTTCAGGTC